GATGAAAATAATTATTATTATCTAATATATATTATGTATATATTATCGATAGAATTGCTAAAAGTTTCACTTAAATCTCCTTAAATTTTGTCAACTGGCACATGTGACATTCGAAAAAAAAATATTTCCCAGAATTGACTTGTATATACGAATGTCACTGATCAAATAAGCGTTACCTCCAAGGGAGAAAGGAGCTACGGCAGATCTTAATTTCTGGTAGTTCTACGTTTTTGTATAATGTATACGTATTAGATATAGCTTCGGCTATAATTGGCAAGATAGTATCCCATTTGAACATCCCTCGACGCACGAGAGTGCTTCATTGCAAACGGGCTCATTGCGATTTCGCCCTTATCGATGACTCGCGTATTATTGGTTTGAAAACGACGGCCGAGCGCCTCAATAATACATCGTAAAAGAATTGGGTAAATTTTGTGCGAGGTAAAATACAGCGCTCCTTAAACTTGTTGATTTTGAAAAATCACTTAACTGCACGAGAGTAAAAGAAGAACCACAAAATGTTATTATTTTCACGTTAATTTAACAGGTCAATGACTACACGTGCACGGTTTCTGTACATGTTTACGAGAGATCTTTTTCAACAAAACTCGAAAACATAAGAAACATTTTACATTACCTTTAATATAAAATGTATTCCTTTAGTACATATAAAACCGCCTCGGGGAGTAACGCGATTTAATTATAATATATTGTAAATCAGGCACATTTGTGTACCTTCATAGTTTCACAAGCGAAACAAATTTATGATAGAAATGCGTCGTACTAAAGATAAATATGTAATGTACAAAAGTCAAATAACTATTAAAAAGTACATTATGGAACTCGCAAGTATCCCACTATACGAAAAATTTAAATTATTTATCTTTAGCCGAATAATGAAGAATAATTATTTATAAATTATAAAAAAAAAATGGTTTTATATTTAGAACAAATGTTAACACTTATATATTTCGATTCTAATTATTGGCGGTTAAGTTTAAATAACCGTATAGTGACAGTTTGTATTTACAACGATTCAAATATAAATTAAACGACAGTTTAACAGTTAAAAGTTGTATGGACTCTATTTCAAATGATATAAATAATAACACTAAGTGAATGTATGTTTTTGCAAAAAAATAACATGGTTATCGAAAAAAATATTTTTATGGTCTAATATTTTTACTTCCTATTGACTATTCTAAGGGTGGATTATTGTACGAAATATGTAAAATTCAAATAATTATTACAAGCATATGAACCCATCATAATATTATCATCTGAAGAATTTAAAATCGTTAAGTGCATTCAAACACAAGCAAGTTTCGGTTGAAAATATATATATACTTGTATATGCGCGGCGTCCTGTCATGTGGCCGGGAAAATAGATTGTCCTGCGGTACAGTAGTGGCGGGCGTATTGGCACAGCAAGAGAGGGTAAGGATATTGTGGTAAATGGATGGCTGCTGAATGGTGGTGATGTAGGTGGCGGGTGTTGGTTGTGAGGTGGAATCGAACAAAGCACATATACATGTCGAGAGAAGTGAACCCTTTGTATATTCATTACTCATTAAATTGGCTATGTATATATATTGTATACATCACGCACGTCTTACACGACTGTAGTACATCATTCGTGTTCGACGTATATTACTTAACACAACCTTTGTGTGTGGTGGTGGATGTGACGGGGTGGGGGAGCTGTTGAAGATAATTTGTTTCGGCTATAACTATATAATGTGTATCTTTATACAGTGTATATGTATACACAGTGATTTAAATTAGTACAGTTACGGAAGATGCGTACACACATTTCCTAAGGAAAATTATAAATTTAAACTATATAATATTGCGGTTTTGTGTGGAAATCATACTTTTACAATAAATGTAATCGAGATAGTCGTTTTAATAAAACAAAAGTGTATTGCGAGTATATCCAATAAAATGTACCTATATTATTAAAATCAATAGGCAACGAAGTATATTTACAAAAATATATTCCCATTATTGATTCCTATTTAATGGTAAATTATTTAACTACGACAAATATGATACAATTTTGTAATATTACCCTGTTATTTGAATAATTATTAGTGTGCATTTTATTGATCTCCTAAAAAAAAAACTTAATAAATAATACAGTTTTTTTTTTCTAAACCAGTATAATGAATATTAACACATATATATGAATAATGTTTTTTTATGTGAAATATATTATAAAATATAATAATAATATAATATAATATGTACACGTTATTTATATTACAAACCAACAGTACTAAGTGCCTTTCGACGCGTAATAGTGTCATACGTGCGTTTGTGTAGTAATCGTTATTGTAGGTTCACGACGCATCATAAGAATTTGAATAAAATATTAACCCACATAATACTTCTGTATTATAAATATGATACTGTGTTGTATTCAAGACGAAATTCTATATAAATATTGTATTCGCTACTTGATGATTTTATTAGAATACACCTTTACAAATATACACTTCAATAATTATATGGAAAAAAGGTAAAAAATATATAAACGTAAATTACATATTATCAATTATTATGATTTAATAATTTCAATATATAAAATATATATTATCAACGGTCTTCCATTTAATCTGTGTTTGCAAAACAAATAAATTGATTTAACTTGATGGCCACTAATTATTATTAAATTATACAATCATTATAACCATTGAGTAACCATACTAACCATACTATAATTTTAATTTTAATTTTTTCTATCGTAAAATATCGTATATTATATATTTTAAATATTTCGCTGTATAACACAGAACTCTCTAACCTCGAGAGAAGTATTTATTAATAACACACGGTTAATGTTGAATAAGACTGCTGTTCAATACACATAAATAATTATGGTGTACACTATACGTATAATAAGTACTCTATAAAATGGTAAAGAGTCGCGCAACCTACGACCTCGTTTTAATACTCAAAGGTGTAACACATATATAATCCAGTGATATTTTAGTACTGATAAAAAAAGTAAATATACAACAAGCATTCAATAATAGTAATACTATTGATTTTAAAATATTATACTAAAAACCTACGCCATTACGTTATTAAAAACTAGTAGCACCTACATGGACGCAGCCACTAGACATCGGTTTATCCCTGTTTGAATTCAACTCAATAAAATAGATAAGTCAAACGCAAATGATTACAGCGACGTCTAGTAGTTGCGTCCACGTAAGTGCTATAAATTCTAACAGCGGTATAGTGTAGCTGTATATACTATTTTAATCGATGGCACTAATAATGATATTATAATACATGATTGTTAGCTAAATAAATCAATTTTACCTATTACATATTTTACCATATTAGAGATATTAGAGCATTATAACCATTTTGATGTAAAATACAAAAATATAATAATCACAATAATTAAAGCGCACAATCACCGTTCATTCTAATAATATATTTTATTCCTGCGAAAAACCTTGATGGCCTACAAAAAATAAAAATATTTTATTTCTATAAATTTAAAATATAATAATTTAATTTACGTAAACACAATCGGTAATTATTGAAATATAAATATTAAACAAAATTAAATATTGCCTATAGGTAACCAAAAAGTGAAAACATTTATACGATCTATCCCAGAGCCTAAAACAGTTTCGACCCTTGATCATGCAATTATCGACAAATCCTTTCTCAGTGCGCCTTTGTACAGAAATAAATACCTAAGCTCCCTCAACATTTAAAACAATTCGGCAAGGTACTTTTGGCACTACGCTGAAGTAAGACGTACATGAGTTGTTAACTAAATATGCAATAATAATATTATTAACAGACACAACCGTTCGCATGACCACAGTAACCAAAACGACTCCCACAAAGACCATAACCGTAACCGTAACAAATGCGATTGGGAAGCAATTGGAAGAAAACATTCGAGGAAACTGTTTATTCCCCTATGTAATATAGGAACGACAATCGCAACCGATGGTGTTCGACATGTCTGCCGTCTAACCTACTGCTGTGTGTGTTAACAATAATAAACTTAAAGTTTTTTCGTATGCTGTACGCAAAAATGCGCGTAATTTATACTCTCTCGTACATCTTTTTGGCCCACCGATAAAAAACTGATAATTGGAATAGTTTTTTCATATTCAATGGCAATTTTATTGACTTTGCATATACCCGACGATGAATTTTTAATTCAAAACCTGTCGTACTTTGCAAATATAATAATGTTTTAGACTAAGATTTTATTTATTTATTAGTTTTTTCTATGTATGAACTTTTAATTTATTTATATATATATTAATTTATAAATATAAACCATAAAATAAATTTTAATTTTAATTTTGTGTTTTAATATTTTATTATTTTTTATTCACTCGGAATATGTTTTACAAAATATGCGTGCGTACATGTGATTATTGCTTTATAAATTTAAAAATTAGTTTTTTATTGAACAAAACTTTTTACTATTTATTTTTTCCCTCTAAAAATATTTCAAGTCATAATTTTCTAGTTTATGAATTTACGTTTATGTTTTATTATAGTAGTTTTCAAATTTCTAATCATATTTTTTTCAAATATTATGTTATGTAGGCATGTTTAATAAAAGAAAAATATGAATTCATCGTTAGAGAATAATATGTTACGTTGACAATAATATAATATGATGCCTACCACACTGAAATAACCCATTAACACTGTTTTATTTATTTTTGTTCAAATAATTTCGTTATAAATTTCAAATATACCTCACATCAACATATTATTGTACCGAAACATGGTATCTATTTTCAACGATTTTAAGTTTTATAGCCAGTGAATATTTAAATTCACTCATCTCTCCGTAAACTTCAATGTAATACACGTATAGTTTTATAATGAAGTTAAACTTCTGTTTAATTCTTGAACCAAATGCACATGGTATTGCAAGCAAATTATCCTAATATATTCCTATATCCTTATACATTGGGAAATATTTCCTTTTAATTTTAATATATTACCTTCATTTTCGATATCAGCCGGTGACAATATTAATGGTGTAGCTCCTTGAGTTTTTGATCTTTTTCCACTAGTGTTGGTTGACATTTTTAACACTGTGAGAATATATAATAACAACTATTTAGGGAATTATCAACATAAAAATAATAATGTATAAAATAAATAATATGCATATATAACAACAGTATTATAATACATAAAAATAATTTTTAATTTCGTTTCATCTATATTTTTTTTCACGCAGTTTGCATTTTAAATCAAATCGGTATTGATATAATTTTATTATAGTTGGTGGCATATTAGGTATTTATAGTGGATAATTATATTGTATATATAAAATTAGATGTACATATAAAATAATAATTACAACATAAATACACGAACAATACGAATATTATATTATACATTTATTGAACATGAAAAATGTACTTTATATATTCCACATTTTAAATATTCTTAAAATAATAAAAAAATATAGTTATAAATCCTCATACAATAAAACGCAAATGTCCATTATTCGAAACGTGCTCATAAACTTTTAGTATAGTTTCGCGATAACATTCAAACTATAATAACAAGTTAGGGCTTAAAATTAATTCATGCTTCAAAATTTACATTATAGGTACTTGTTATGAATTTTGAGAATTTGGTGTTTAAAATTATAATATAGTTGACCGTTCAATGAATAAATTAATATATTCGTCGAGTCAAAGTATTATTTCAAAATGAGCAGTGTTGAAAAATTCATCACGTTAAACGGTATATTTCAACACGTAATCACGGAAAGTCTGAACAGATGAACTGTAGTTCAGAATAAAAATAACATAACTGCGCGGTCGGACGATTTGTTGTCATTCGCGAAGCGAAGTGCTCGATATATGACTGTATTATACTATGGGATGGGACGTTCCAAAACGCTTAATGAATCATAAATCAAACAAAATACAATATATTTCTCGGATGGCATTTTGTTCGGTGTACAGTAGTTCTTCAAGTTTTCAAGGTCAGCAAACTTAGTTCATCAGGTTAAGTTTTGACGGTTTCACAATGTCAACGTATCATTTAGTAATTCGTAAATTATCACCAGTCTGTTTGTTTTGTAATGCATACGTGTGTCGTGGCGAGACGGTCATGAAGTGCGATCGAAAAGTCAGCAGCTCGGTTTTCTTAAACATTGTTCGCAACAAAATGTGGTACGGAACCATGTCATGCGCAGTAAAATGTCGCGTTTCATTCAATGAGTGGCGTAGGAAGTAGTAGTTTTTAAGGGGGGGAGGCAAAAAAGGAGCTCGCCCCTTGGATTTTTTTTATGTCAACTATTATGTTTTTTACGTTCTATTATTTTCACTTTATATGTTCAAACTTCATTTTTTATTCTTGCATTGATGTGATAAAAATAGACGAATATACGTTATCAAAAAATACAGTCCTACAACTAGAATTATTAAGGTTAAGCTAATCGGGTTTGATTGGTTTTTTTCAGATTATAATCGATTATAATCAAATGTATGAACCTTTTACAATATTTTGTATTCCAATAAAATTATACTGTTTAATCTATGAAATCAAAAATATAAGTTATACCATTTATAATATAATTATAAATAAATTGTATTCTTTATTTAATATATGGAATTTAGGGGGGCAAAAAATTGAAAATAGCCCCCCTATGTTTAACTGTTTAAAAAAAAAAAACAATGAAATATTGTTAAATTATTTGTGCATTAGTAGCATTCCTTGATTTAAACTCAGATTGCAAATCACTATAAGTATATGATAATTAATTCTAATCAATAATAACATAATAATAATGTATATGTTAAATTCCCTGACAACAAATTGTTAAAAACCACTTGTCATATAATGTAAACTATACTATCTCAATTTTTACTTTTGTAATGATTGTTATTTATCAACACCGCACATTACTTCTGTGATATCATCCGACTAATATGTCGAGTATGTGGAAAAGGAATGAGGTCATGAACGTTGACTAAGAGTTTTTGGCGCAAATATATAACGATGGCGAATAACACAGTAGAACTCATTATCGATGAGTGGCTGACGAAACAATTGCAGAGATGCGTAGAGAAGTGCCCAAGTCGAGAGGCCATCATTCCGACTTCCATCAACATCGTCCACAAGTCCACTGCGGTCGTGTAGGACGTAGAGAGTATGTGAGATACTCTCTATTTAAATTATTATATATTAGTTAATTTTATATGTCACCTTAGTATTTTTTTTTTTTTTTTATACGAAACGATCCTGTTCCGTAGTTTTTAAATAACACACACCTCGGGTCTGGTCCTCGATACTTAAATTTGTAGGAACTTATAGAAGATATTCAGTTATTATCATTAGGTCTTCGGACGATTAACAAAATATTACCCTAACAAATCGATAATGAGATGTTCTTATTGTACCGTTTCGACTATCTCTACGTAACACAATAAATAAAATGTATGTTTGCAAGCGTATATTGACTACGTTATTTGAAACTATTCTTCACAAGTGTCAGGCAGTGCGGAGGAAGGTAAAGTATTATAAACTCTATTTTTACACGTGGGGTGTTTTCGGATGTGTACGACGGGCAAGGTTGAGTAGTGGGAAAAGATGTGGGGTGGGAGGGTCGAGGTCAACAATAATAATTTTCACCATTGTACACACAAATTGAACGTAGAAAAAAAGATAGCGCACTCAGTCCAGAAGCATTTTGATTTATTTTTTCGCATTGTCCGCCAGTGTTGTAAAACACACTAGGATACTAAAGCTACCCGGACTATTGTATAGCATACCGTCTACACTATTTTGAAAATGCGGTCACGCAATTTCAACCTCTTATCGATCCATACAACAGTGCTCGAGCGTCATTATAGTGTTTACCACTGCGAATAGCCAGTGTCGAAGACCGAATAATGAACGATTCGTTGTCTGTAGCTGGAGCAACGGAACGGAACGCAACGGTCGGTGAGAATATTCTGTTGTTTATCAACGACAAAACCCATTAAATTAAGATGAAAATGTACTGAACATGTAAATATATGTACAGTAGAAACCGTTTATAATGACATCGGCTGTAGTGACATATTGATTGTAATGACCTTAGATTGAAAGTCTCGGCAAAATTCATATATTGTACGTACTAATTTATATCGATTACTACGACGTCTGTACAATGACTATACGGATGTTATGACGGTTATGTTTGGTTATATTAGGAAAATATTTTATCTATAAAGAATTTGATAAATTTATCAAGTGTAATAATACAACCGATAATTTTAACAAATTACACTAAATAAGGTAAGTTCAAAAATATTTTTTTAAATAATAGAATAAAAAATAATGAATGAATTTTATCCAAACAAAGATTACAGATTTTTTAATAAAATTTTGTAAATTAAATTCTAAAATAATCATTAAATACTTAAAAAAGTTTTTTATTTTTATTTTATGTATTGAATTTATGATTTACTAGAGAAAATATGTATAACACATTAATCGTAATGAAATATTATGTTTGTATAAATGTATAATCAAGTTTTTAAATTATTTTTTGTAATTTTGGTTACAATACCAATTGGTTATAATATCCAATTTTTACTAGTCCCTTAAATGTCATATGAAACGGTTCCTACTATATATACATTTTGCACGTATTTGTCGGTTATCGCAAAAGTCCGATTCGAGTATAATATTTTAACGTTAAGAATGAAAAAGAAAAAAAAATGTTTCTCTTCCGCGCAACCGTTTAAAAACGACCTGATTTATTCACGTTGTTTGTTTAAAACTGTTATGCGCACTGTGATTTATCGTAAGTTTTAATGATAATACGTGCGTACATTAAACGCAGCATGGTATTTAGATGTTTATCCCGAGGAAGGCTATTAATTTTTGTGCGGGGAAGCTATTACATCAAGCGGTGTACAGCGTATTACAGATTATCAATTAAAACAATAAATAAGTGGTAAAATCATGTGTACGTGTGTAAGCAAATTTATATTATTTTCAATCAAAATCTGTGATATAAACGTTGCACGGTTATCAATGATTTTTTGGCGTTGTTGTAAATTACTGTTGTTTCAGTATGTATTTTATTCTGTGTATAGTATTATTTTGTCAACAATGACTAAAACGGACGAAACATCGTGTAACCTTGTTCTACTTGAAGTGCTGTCCTGAATATGTTAGTCGAATAATATTATTTTGTAAACGATTTTGAACCTAATAAATCATAATTAATAATTTATTTTTTTATTCATAGCAAAATAATAATTTTACAAATGTGAGTTCGAATGATGAAACGTTTTAAAATTATCTGCTTTTTTTATCTATATAAATGAAATTATTTTTTAACTAATATCAGGATAAATATTTAAACTGTTATCTATTATCTTATCTAGATGCATTTTAATGAATTATTCGTTATCTTATCTTGATACATTTTTAGTTATCACTGGCCATGACCATACTGTTATTCTTTCGGATCATATGCGTCTCGCGTCTTCGTAAATCGATTGGTTTTGTTTACTCAACATTAATCGGACCTAATCCGATTCGGTAGGCAGACCGATTTTTCTCTATGTTCTTTGTTATGATACCGCTGCGTTATGGCCTACGTGCGCGTAAACGTTTACCGAAGTACGTTTATTTCCACGGTTCCCGTATGTCTTGCTTCTATAATGGAATCGGTCGTCGTACCTTAACTTTTCGCTAATGCCATTCGGTCGAAAAGGACGTTTTGATTATTAACTTTCGCTGCCGTCCGCCGACGTCTTCGTCATAAATCAACCTGGTCCATTTCTCTCGATGTTGCCCGTACCGACTGACACAGCGCCTACGACAGACGACAAGTGCACAGTGTTCTCTGACCATCCGGCTATCACCGCAGCAGCTCTGCTGGCCAAGAGCAAAAGGCCACTTATCTTCGGTACAGTTTCGTTTGTCGCCATTAACAATCTAACAACTGCGAAACGGTCAAGAATACAATACGGTGTAACAGACGCGCTCAACAGGAACCCCGGGTCCGTTAAATATTATACTTGACAACAGAGACGAACATAACAATGTGACAGGGATATTTCGGAACATTGAG